AACGTGTTTTACATTATTGAGACACAAAATATGACTAATTAGTCATTTCAATGAATAATCTATTAATAAAACTGTTTTTATTGGATATTTTTGATGAGACGAATGACTGCTCAATCCATTCATAACAAGTTCAACTAATTGCAAACTGCACCTACACTTTTTCTTTCAAAGTGTCCTGCGTACACGTTACAAATATATTATTAACAGTTTATTATATTATAAAGTTATGGTATATAATTAAATAAAATTATGATAAAAATTACATTAATTTATCATTGTTTTTTGTAAATCAAAGGATAATTATTTTTATGCTAAAACATGCTTGATCACTCTGTCTGGGAAAAGACAATCTGTTATTTTTATGCGGATATTCCTTATGGATATTTATATTTAATTATAAGTAACAATAAATTGGTAATTGATTTGACAACATATTAAAAACAAAATTATTATTTAATTCGCAACACACTATTGATTATAGCATACATTTATAGTATTACTTAAAGTGCAAACTTGGAACACAAATCAATCAATAAATACACATACATTTACCATGTTCAATAGGTTGTCGTTGTATATTTAACTCCCCTAGTGAATATTACATCTACTGTTTAATAAATCATGTACACTTACGAATGGATCATGCTAATCCAATAATTAATTCTTGAATATCAATCATTTTAAATATATTAATATGTCAATACTTATTTGCCAAATTGCCAGAAGTATTCATAATGGTGTAAGTCTGTAAAAGTCAGATTTACATTAAACTATATTCCTTGTGTGTTTTATATTTACTAACTATAATGTGATTAAACATTATATTTGATTGCACACAACATCTTTTAACTATTATAGTCTAAAATTAGATCAAACAAAGTGTTAAATTATATTTTAATAAAAGTACAAATTTAACTTAAATACATTCTGGCTAACTTTATATCCGGCGACCATGAAAGTGCTTTCATAACATTAGGCTAATGTAAATTCTTTGTCAGTCTAAACGCATATTGATTGATATGTTTAAACAGTGGCTCGTATAGAAAATATAGTTTATGATTGATTTATGAATAATAATCTTGATCATACTAAAAACAAATTATTCAAAACACAAATACAATATAAAAAATGTGTCAAAAAATGTAAATCATAATTTGTTTAGCGGACACATGCATCACAAAATCATCTATGTATATAAGCACAAGGCGTTAGGCAAAATCATCAGCAGTTAAATTATTTTAATATTTAAAAATTATTATTTAATTTTCATAATTAAAGTTTTTTAAACCAAACCAATGATGAAGGGTATTTTGTCTGTGATGATAGTCTTATACATTAGCTATCAATGTATGGCGGGTTCAGATTGGGCTCAATTTCGCGCCACTATGAAGACCAGTGTGTGTCAGCCCGACAAAACAGACAACACGCTGATGGGCAAAATTGTGGAGTGCAGGAAAAAACATGTCCTGACACAGGAGAAAGTGGTTGAGTGGGAGAATAAGGTGAATTTGATCATTTCATTAATTTATTTGTATTACACTTGCAAATTCTAGTCTCACACAAGTGAATAGAATTACATTAAATTAAATATAACGATGGTAAAATTGCATTTTAATTGTACATATAATTGATATTAGATGAAGGATACATGGAAGGAGTGTGCAGAGGGTCGGGACAACGACTTGAGCGCTTACACCAAAGTGGACCTCAAGAATGACACTAATAAACGGCTTCTCTTTATGTATTGTAGCGATGGTTACTCCACATGTGTTGTCGACAAAATCAAAAAGGCTAAAAAGGAGGGCGAGGAAGACTGTAATAAAAAAATGACCCAGGAGAAAAAGGATGAATTCCAGGTATGTCACCATTCTAAACCTACTAATTTGCAATCTATTGTACTAACAGTAATTAATTGATTTTATAACTGGCCAGTTAAATGGTTTACTTTTAAATATAACTATTAGAGACTATTTATTAAATTATATTATTAAATCTAAAATATTATAAATATAATTACAATTATTAATAATTATTCTAATGATGTTTTTGTTTGTATTTTAATTTTAGAAATGTCTGACTGATGCGATCAAAGCCTAAAGCGCTGATGCGGTCAACCATATATTGAACACTTATTCAAATACA